GGTCAAGTGAGTGTCCCCGTGGGGCACCAGGCTTTCTGTCCGGGCCAAGCTCTGTTGACCCGAGCCAAACGGAAACAAATGGATGCCAAAGGCAGGATGAGGCAGCTTACTTCATGGGACATCCACTCGGGTGATCCTGGGCCAGGGGCTTGTTGGACTGGGCGCTGGTAGAGAAAGCTGGCGGGGTGATGTGGGTGAGGGGTCAGGAGTGAGCAGCTGTCTGCCTAGTACTGCTTCCTGCGCGTGGCTTACAGAGCTCAGCAGTTGTCTAAATGTTATTCTTGGTGTCCGATCACTGTAGCCACAGGCTGCTGTGGCTGTGAAGTACAGGAAATGCAGCCATCCAAATCAAGGAACTTTTGTTTGGGTTTAACTGGTTTGAATTTACAAGGCCCCCTGCACAGCTGCTGGTGGCCCTCCTGGGAGATTCTCTCGTGGCCTCAGGATCCCGGAGTTAGGGCTGCTCCAGGCAAGACTCAGAATTCCCAACCCCTCAGGGCTAGACCTGGATACAGCTCCAGTGGTTTCGTTTCCGTGGCTTTACACATTTTTTTTATGGATTTGAAAGTAATGAGTAAGAGAGAGATGGTTCACTCCCCACATGGCTGCAATGGCCAGAGCTGAGCCGGTCCAGAGCCAGGAGCTTCTTCTAGGTTTCCTTCGTGCTACCTTCCCAGGCCACAAGCAGGGAACTGGATGGGAAGTGGAGCAGCTGGGATACGAACCAGCACCTATGTGGGATTCTGGCATGGGCATGGCGAGGGTTTAGGCACTTGGTTATTGTGCCGGGCCCGTGAGAGAGATTTTGTCGTTTTGTCCTCTAAGTGCATGTGACAGCCGGGACTGGGCCAGGCGGACACTAGAAACCAGGAACTGCAGCCAGGCCTCGTGTGGAGGTGGCAAGAGCCTGGTTGTCGGGCCAGCAGTGCTGCCTCCCGCAGGCATGGGAGGGAGACGGGTGAGAAGCGTTGAGCAGGGGCTGCGTAGTGGCGGAGAGGGGTGGGCTCTCTCTGGCATCTTGCTAGGAGTGGTTGGAGTCCGTGTTTCTGTGCTTCCATCCAACGCCCCTGGGAAGGACACAACAAGTAGCCCAGGAACTTGGGCCCCGTGGGGGAAGCCAGGCAGAGACCCTGGCTTCTGGTTCTTGTGGTTCACACCCTGCTGTTAGGGCCACTCAGGGAATGAACCAGTGTGGGAAGATCGGTCACTTCCTTCCTTCCTACCTCCCTGTCCACCCGCCTTCCTCTCTCTGCTGGCCTGACTTTCAAAGAAATAAACCTTACATACAAACTGTGGACTAGCCAGGACTGGCATGGGTACTCCAAAATGAATTTCAGTGTTGTAAGTGGTGGCTTAACCTGCCTGTATCTCTCTCTCTTTTTGAAAGATTTGTGTATTTTTATTTGAAAGGTAGTTACAGAGAGAGAAGGGAAGAGAAAGATTGATCCTCTGTTGGCTGGTTCACTCCCTAAAAGGTCACACAGCGGAGCTGAGCTGATCAAAGCCAGGAGCTTGGAGCCTCTTCCGGGTCTCCCACGCAGGTACAGGGTCCCAAGACCTTGAGCTGTCCTTGACTGCTTTCGCAGGCCACAAGCAGGGAGCTGGATGGGAAGTGGAGCAGCCGGGACCTAACTCGGCACCCGTGTGGGATGTTGGCGTCACAGAGAGTGGCTTAGCTGCATGAGCCCTATGGCTCTTCATGTGGGTGTTGGACTCCCTAGAACCTCAATGAAAGGAGATCTACTATAATTAATTAATTACTGCTTGATTAATCATTGATTTCAATAAAGAATAATTCTTTCTTAAGCATCTATAATAAGGCAGACATGGTTTAAAAATGAAGAGCTTCCTGGGGTCTTAAATCTCTTGGAGCCTCCCTCCTGATGCTGTGCACGAGGTTTGGTTTTGTTTTAAGATTTACTTATTTTTTCCTGGAAAGGCAGATTTATGGAGAGAAGGAGAGACAGAGAGGAAAAGCTTCCAAACGCTGGTTCACTCCCCAAATGACCAAAACAGCTGGTACTGAGCCGAAGCCAGAAGTCACGAACCTCCTCTGGGTCTCCCACACGGGTGCAGGGGCCCAGGGCTCTGGGCCGTCCTTGACTGCTTTCCCAGGCCACAGGCAGGGAGCTGGAAGGGAAATGGAGCAGCCGGGACACAAAGCAACACCCATAAGGGATCCTGGCACACGCAAGGTGAGGATTTTAGCCACTAAGCTATCACACCAGGCCCTAGTTCTCCATCTTTCATATCTTTAAGAAATCTTGCTTTGCTCATTGTGAAAAAATCGGGAACATTCTAGACAATGAACTGTCGTTCAATACTGAACAACAACAAAAAAGAGCTACCAAGCCAGAGAAAATGCGAGTGAAACGTGGATGTGTGTTACAGGGTGAAGAAAGTCGCTCTGGGTAGTCACACTGTGTGTGCCTCTGCCTGCTTCACCTTTCAGAAGAGGCACAGTTAGAGACAGTGATGGGACAGCCCCCTGGAGCCCCAGCAGTCACTGTCCGTGAAGTAACTGCTCTGTGAACTTTCCCACGGCTGGAGGTGGCCGCCGATGGCTTGCAGCTGTGAGGGGCCGCCAGGAAGCCTCTTCCCACCTCACACTTGCAAGTCAGGAATGCTGCGGACCTGAACACGGGGACCCCCACGGCACGCCTCTTGTCGCCCACGCGGGCGGAGGGCTCAGGGGACTCAGTTAGCAGCTGCCAGCTTCGCTGCCGGCACGGGGCACGGGGCACGGGGCGGGGCAGGTGGACGGGGCTGCTTCCACGGGACACGGCGCTCACAAGTTGCGCTCTTCCCCACCCACGCAGCTGCATCTGGAACGTTCCCCACGGGCTGTCGTACTGGCAAGTGAGCGAGGACTAAGAGCCAACACATTTTCACAGGCTGTCTTAAATACTCAGAGGAACCGAGTTTTCCTGAGATAACACATTTTTCCAGCATTATGCTCTCAAGTATGCAAGATAATGAAATGGAATGGTTCTTTAAAATTGTTTTTTATTATTTGGAAAGCAGAGCAACACAGAGAGGTGAACATGCATGTGTGCATGAGCGCACACTCACACTCACACTCACACTGTGACAGATCGCTGTTCCAGCTGCTGATCTGTGTTGTACTCACCAAATGCACACAACAATAGCCAGCTCTGGGCCGGAAACCCTGTCCAGGTCTCCCGTGTGGGTGGCAGGGACTCAGGTCCTGCAGCCTACGTGGCTTCCTCCCGCACTGCACGTGATCAGGAATCAGAATCTGAAGTGGCGCTCACGCCCTTGAACTCAGGCACTCCGGCAAGGAATGCAGGGGTCCCAGGCAGGGTCTAACCACCATGCCCGAAGCCCACCCTGTTCCTGGTCTATTCCAAGCATAACATTTTTAAGAAAATACTTATTTGAAAGGTACAGATGCCCAGAGAGGTTGAGAGAGGAGGAAGGAGAGACACAGGGAGAGAACCAACCAGAGGATGGAGCTGGGCTGGTCTGAAGCTAGGGGCTTCTTCTAGGTCTCCCGTGTGGGTGCAGGGACCTAAGAACTTGAGTCATCCTTTGCTGCTTTCTCAGACTGTCAGCAGGGAGCTGGGTGGGAAGTGGAGCAGCCGAGACTTGAACCAGTGTCCCTGATGTGCTGGTACGTCACATGCAGCAGCTTTACCTGTGAAGCCACAGCACTAGCTCCCAGCCCTGCCTCCCAGGAAGTCATATTTATACAGCCATTTGCAGCACCCTGGGTTTGTCAAGTTGCCCAGCTCTGAGTCAGTCGAGGCTTTCTCAGCTGTCTAGTTTTGTGGCCTACCTGTCCCGAGACTGCGCCTCACAGTGAGTGGCTTAGCTGGCTGGCCCATAGCTGGCCGTCATGGCTCCCCAGCATGCAACTTATCACAAGCCTGAGGAGATGAGGCAGGGCCACCTTCTTTCCAGGAATTGGCCCCACAGTGGCCAGCTGCTCATGCTGACGTGGGAAACGTGGAGAAACTGAGAAGGCTGAGGGAGCCAGGGCTCCTGGCCAGGAACTGGAAGTTGGAGTAGATTAGGCAGGATTTGTCTGGAGAGGTACTTGCTGGGCCATGAGCTGTAAAGGCTGGGGGCCTGCGTCTTGTCTCAACTCTGTTGCTCTCGAGTGTCCGGGCTGTTGCTGTCCGTCCTAGACCCAGGCCAGGTTTGGGGTGCGAAGGTCTCCCTAACCCCCAGCAGAGGCTGCCTCAGTGCGTTGGGAGATTGCAGTTCCACCTCCTGCCTCCCATGCTGGCAGGTCAGGCCAGGGCATCTTTGTAAAAAGCAGTGAATGCGAGTAGCATGAGCACCATTTGCAGAGGGTTCTGGCTCCGTGGTGTTAGGCAAGGGGCTTCTGAGGTCGGAGCAAGGAGTGGGGCTAGCGTCGGGGCGCCAGGGGGTTGCTGTTGTTTTTATCAACTTAGAAGGCAGAGTGGCAGAGAGTGTGAGAAGAGCTTGCTCTTTTGCTGTTGAATCCCCAAATGCCAGCAGCAGTCAGGATTGGGCAAGGTCAAAGCTAGGTGCCCGGAATGCCTTCTGGACTCCCACGTGGGTGGCAGGGGCACCAGTGCTGTCTCCTCCAGTGCATTGGCAGGGAGCTGCAGCGGAGGCAGAGCAGCTAGGACTCGAACCAGTGCTGCAGAAAGGGGTGCAGACATCCAAGCAGCCACTCTACCTGCCCCAGGGGTGTTTCTAAACACAAAATCAAAAAGCTCTGAGTTACACCTGAAACATCCCAACAGCCTGGAGTTGTAGAAGAGGGAAAAAAGGGTCTTTACCACGTGGGCTTGTGGGGTGGAGTTTTTCTAAGCTGTCTCTCCTGCTGGTGATGGGGAGCCTGGCAGAGGGGAGAGGGTGTGGTAGCTCCTGTCCACCTGAACCCTGGAGAGTGCTGCTTCCTCTGGGTCAACCCCAATCCCCTGTGCTTGGGTCCAGCCCCAGTGAGGGCCAGAGTGGTTGCAGCGGCGGCTGCTAGAGAGACATGCTGTCCCTTCTGTGTGCAGGTACCGAGTGAACTTCAGACCGCGCTACGTCACCAGGTACAAGACGGTGACACAGCTAGAGTGGAGGTGCTGCCCTGGCTTTCGAGGGGGAGACTGCCAAGAAGGTCCCCGAGACCCGGGGTGGATGCTGCGCCCCACACCTGCCCGGCCACGAAGCAGTGTGAAGAAAGCCACAGGTAACTTCCCACAGGTGCTTTGCTGTGCACAGCCACCTGTAGCAGCTCTAGCGCTGGTTCCATCGCCAGGACTGAGGACTGATGATGTTGAGTGCATAGACACACACAGCAGACAGATGTGTCTGTGAGATTCAGACCTGGTTAGCCTGAAACATTGGCAGTTCAAAGTGGTAGTTACAAGCCACTGCTTAGTACACCCACATCCTATATGGGAGTCCTGGCTGCTCCACTTATGATCCTGATTCCTGCCAATATGCCCAGGACGCAGCAGCAGATGGCTCGTGTGAGTGCCTGCTACTGATGTGGGAGACCCAGATGGAATTCTTGGCTTCATGGGACACAGCCATTTGGGGAGTGAACCAGTGGGTGACAGATCTCTGTCTCTTTGCTTTCTGTTGCTATGTTTGTGTTTAAAAATTCGTTTTGCTATCTTTTTTTTTTTCTTCTAAAGGTTAGATTGATTTGAAAGGCAGATTTACAGACAGAAGGTGAGAAGGGCCCAGAGAGGTCTCCATCCTCTGGCTCACTCCTTAGATGGCTGCAACAGCCGGCTGTGAACCAGGTGGAAGCTAGGAGCTTCTTTTGTCCATGTGGGTTCAGGGACCCAAGCACTTGGACCATCTTCTGCTGTTTTCCCAGGCACATTAGCAGAGAGCCGGACTGGAAGTGGAGCAGCTGGGACTTGAACCAATGCCCATGTGGGATGCTGGCCTGGGAGGCAGTGGCTTAACTCACTTGACGGCAAACATGGCCCCTGCTATGTCTTTCAAATAAATAAGTAATAAATAAATAGGCTCTTTCCTAGTCTGGTTAGGATGAGATATTTGCAAAGTTTAGCCCAAGTTGGAATTTTCACCTGAGGTTACCATTGCCCTTGGGTGTAGCTTCAAACCAGTATGTCACATTGTCCAACATGGGACATCCAGGAAAGACTTCAGTCGATCAGTCAGGCTGCTGTTTACGGCAACTTTGAAGTAAATATGTCATTGAAATATTCACAGAATTGGAAACTGGGATTTAATGGATTAAAAGAATTAGTGGGTTTTTTTTTTTTGATAATTTTTTTGGCATTTCATGTTTTTACAGCATCTGAGCTGGTCTGAAGCTAGGAGCCAGGAGCTTCTTTTGGGTTCTCCACATGGTGCATGGCCTTGGGTCACCATGCACTGCCTTCTCACGTCATTAGCAGAGAGCTGGATTGAAAATAGAGCAACTAGGATTAGAACCAGCACCCCTATGGACACCAGTGCCGTAGGTGGAGGCTTAACCTGCTTTGTTTGCTATCATGCAATTCCCTATCTTTTCTCTTTTTAATAAAGTTGAAACTACAAGCTCCCATCCTAGATGTTGTTTTAGAGGGTTTTATTTTGCCATGAATTTTTCAGTTTCAAAATAAATAGTGCTTCTAACATTGCCTATAAAACAGATTTTTAGATAATTTGCTATAAAAATAATACATTAGAAGCTGGCACTGTGGGGGGCGGCATGCTACTCCTCTGCCTGTATTCCATGGGGGTGTTTATTTGAGTCCCAGATGCCCCACTTCCGATCTAGCTTCTTGCTAATGACCTGCGAATACAGCAGAGGATGGCCTAAGGCCTTGTGCCCATGTGGGAGACCCACAAGAAATCCTGGCTCCTAGCTTTGGATCAGCCCAGCTCTCTGCTGTTGTGGCCATTCGGGGAGCTAGCCAGAGAATGGAAGATCTCTCTGTTAGCTCTGCATTTCATAAAAAATAAATCTTTTAAAGATTTATTTTTTTATTATTTTTTCATTGGAAAGGCAGATATACAGAGAGGAGAGACAGAGAGGAAGATCTTCCGTCCGATGATTCACTCCCCAAGTGAGCGCAACGGGTTGATACTATGCCGATCCGAAGCCAGGAGCCTCTTCTGGGTCTCCCATGCGGGTGCAGGTTCCCAAAGCTTTGGGCCGTCCTTGACTGCTTTCCCAGGCCACAGGCAGGGAGCTGGAAGGGAAGCGGGGCTGCCGGGATTAGAACCAGCGCCCATATGGGATCCTGGGCGTGCAAGGCAAGGACCTTTAACCACTTGTGCCACCGCGCCGGGCCCAAAATAAATCTTTTAAAAAGAAAGCAATACATATAGACAGAAAAATATAGAGAGAACAGAAGAACATGCTTTTGTTATAAAAACAATTCTGATCATGGATTGAATACAGCGGAGGCATGCCTGTGTGTGACACTGTGTGACAGACGTCGTTTAGTTTATGAACACATGCACCCCCATCTCCACACAGATTCCCAGAATGTGCTCGTGCTGTAGCCCCAAGTTTGCCCCCTTGGATCGCCAGCTCCGCCTCCCCGCTGCCCGCCATGGCCTCTGGGAGCCTGGTTCTTGGCGTCCCACGCAGGAGATGGCCGTGTTTCTCTGTGTCTGGGTTGTTTCTTCAGGATAATGTCCTCCAGGTTCACCCGTGTTGTCTCCAGCAGGCACAGTAGAACACGGCATGATTTCTTTGTGCATCCATTGTCCATGGACACGTAGGTTGTTTTGGTGTCTTGGTTGCTGCGATGGTGAAGGTGGAGGTGCCAGCGAACTGACAGAGCTGCTGGTTTCACATCCCCAGTGCTGGGGTTCTTGCATCGTGTAGCGGTGCTCCTTTCTTTGCTTTTTATTGGTGAGGTAGAGGAGAGGGAGAGGAAAAGCGAGAGGGATACAAGGAGAGTGAGTTCACACCTGGTGCTTTCCTCCCCGGATGACTACAACAGCTGGGCTGCCCCTGGGTCGAAGCTGGAAGCAGAGGTCTGAAGCCAGGTCTCCCACCTCGGTGCAGGAACCCAGTTCCTAGAGCCGCCATCACCCTGGCCTCCCAGGATAGGCATCGATGGGGAACGGGGACCAAACTTCCTTCGGAAGTTGATGCTAGCTACCCCAGTGTGGGACGTGGGCACTTCAAGCCGTAACCCAAATGCCTGCCCTGTCCCCGTGGTAAAGACCGCTGACATTCCCACTCCAGTGTACAGGTCCCATCTCACGCCCTCCCCGACGATTGCTATGCTTGGTGGTTCTGATCATGGCCGCTGTCTCTCTCTGCTTCGTGTAGTTCTATCAGAGTACCGCTGACTGGGCAGTTCAGAATGGACTTTCTCTCACACGTGCAGGCTGGGCAGTCTGATGGCAAGGGAGTGACACCTCATTGTTGAGGGTGGAGCCCTCCTGACTTAGACATTGCTTAAGGGCCCCACCTCTTCATACTGTAACAGTGGCAACAAGGGGCCTTTCAAACCATAGCAACCATCCTAATGTTTTGCTAATGTTTGAAACACTGTTTCCCGTGTCTGCATGTACATTTTGTTCAGGCAAAATGCTTTCATCCGACAGATGTTCACTGCTCTCCTATGTGTCTGACAGGCTCCATATCGGGTGTTGGGAAAGATGAAAAGCCAGCTAGACACAGTCCCTGACCTCATGGAAGACACCATGAGGCAGTGACTGCAGTAAATCATGACGATGCTATGACGGGGAAGCCATGTGGGGCTGGTGGAGCACAATGGTTGACCTTTAGTTTTCATCCTTTTCAAAGTTTAAACAAACATATGAGGAGACTTATAAGCTTTGTGGCAAAATGAAATCTAAGTTTATTTGGGTACAGAATTGTTTTTTGAAATCCATGCCTAGTTTTTTTCATTTTATGCATTTCCAAGAATACTTTCAAAAGTGGACTGATCTGAAAGGCACAGTTGTGGAGGGAGGTGGGAGGAACAGTAGGAGCTCCCTTCCATTCGTTGAGTTCCTCCCCAAATGACCACAGTGGCCAGAGGTGGGCCAGGGCAAAAGCCATAAACCTGGAACTCAATCTGTATCAGCCACGGGGGTGGCAGGGGCCCAGGCACTTGGGTGCCATTCTCCACTGCTTTACCAGGCACATTAGTAGACAGCTGGATCAGAAGTGGAGCAGCCGGGATTTGAACTGATACTCATCTGGGATGCTGGTGGTGGCTTATCTCACCACACCCCAACACAGGCCACCCAATTCAGAAAAGATTGTATGCATGGGTTCCAAAAAAATTTTTGTACCCAAAATAAACTTCTCTTTTAATTACATTTTCTATGAACTTTTGGGAGTTTATTTTAAAGGCAGGCAGTGTGGGGTTAGGGTATAATAGGAAAAAAGAGAGAATCTTCATCCATTGGGTCACACTGAAGCTGGGTGGCAGTACACCTTGTAAGTTGGGGCGCTTTGCATAGGACAACACATAGGGAGAGGTGAACCGAGAGCAGCTGGGTTTCAGGGTTCAGAAAATTCAAGTTCGTGCAGGGTGTGGTGGCCACAATGCTTGGCCTCGATGGGGTTCAAGTCAGGTTCCAGCATACGTTCAGAAACGGTCACGGCTTCTCCCTGTGTCCTCAGCAGTTTTACCTGGTCTGCCTCCCTCCTTGTGCAATGTAATTAACGCTAGGATATCACAGAACTTTTCTTCTATCGTATAGGAAGCAAACTTTCTGATATGTTACTGTCTGGGAAATATTTTTACTCTAGTTTCAGAGTTCTAGATTGGAAGTTACTTTTTGTCAGAAATTTTTAAACATCCTCAGTTTACTTCTAGACTCCAGTAACTGGCTTTAAGAAGTTTAAGGGCATCGTGAGTGCAGCAATAAGACCCTAAGGTGCCCACATTTTTTTTTAAAGATTTATTTTATTATTATTGGAAAGGCGGATATACAGAGAGGAGAGACAGAAAGGAAGATCTTCCGTCCGATGATTCACGCCCCAGGCGACCGCAACGGCTGGAGCTGAACTAATCTGAAGCCAGGAGCCTCTTCCGGGTCTCCCGTGCAGGTGCAGGGTCCCAAAGCTTTGGGCCATCCTTGACTGCTTTCCCGGGCCACAAGCAGGGAGCTGGAAGGGAAACGGGGCTGCCGGGATTAGAACCGGTGCCCATATGGGATCCCAGGCGTGCAAGGCGAGGACCTTAACCACTGTGCCATCGCGCCGGGCCCAAGCCCACATTTTTGTTTTAGAGTGCCCGAGTTGGAGTCCTGGCCCCACTTTGAGCTCCAGCTTCCTAGCCGTGTGCACGCTGAGACACAGTGGACTTAGTGCTGCTGGGAACTTGCCTCTACTTCTGGGGAAAGCCAGGTTGAGTTCCGAGCTCCTGGCTTCGCTCTCGCTCTGCCCCTGCTGCTGTGGACCTCAGGGAAGTGAACTGATGGATGGAAGATTCTTCTCTGTCCTTGCTTTGCAAAACTGTGTCCACATCATCTCATTACTAACTTTCCTCTGTGTGTGTGACTTGGGTGGGCTGCTTTTGTTTGCGCCACTCCCACCTGCTTGCTACTTTAATCGGATCTTAAGAGGGAATGAAAAGAAACATATATTTTCATTAAAAGAGACATACTATTCTTGAAACTCAGTTTTTACTTAATTTATAATGAACCACCTTGCATGTCAGTAAATAGTCTACAATATAATTTAACAGTGCTAGTGTGATTGCATGAAGAGTCTCCTCTGTCTTTTAGGTTATTTGTATTTGTCATTGTACTATCTCAATAAACATAGTTTCCATTTTTTGCACTCATTCCTGGTAGTTTTCTAGAATAAATCTCTAGAACTGAAAGTGCCAGGCCAAGAACATTCTGAGTATTTGGATATATATGGCCAACTTATCTGAAAAAGTCGTAGCAGTTTACAGCCCAGGGGGCGCGGGAGAGCAGTGTTTCCTCGTGTCTTTCTCTTCCCCCATTTTTCAGTCTTTTAATTCTTACTTCCTTTACCCGGAATAACATTGAATTTATGCAAAATTAATTTGTCTTCCTCTACTAGCATCTTGAGACAGAATACATTATCTTTTTAGCATGGAAAATATGGCTGTTCTTTATGGGTCTCTGCAGGAAAACAGATGTGCTGAGGAGGTAGGACATCTGTATTTCAGCCTTAGTCTTTAGACACCACATTGATTTTAATATGTAACAGTTGCTGTTAGGAACTACAGGCAGAAGTGTAGGGGAGCAAAAAAGATGAACATGAAATTCAAGTAAGTATAGCATTGCCAATTCCCTCCTCGGGCTTTTCAGGGAGGCATTGCTTTATCCCGTGCTCATCCGTGTGCTGGTTGACTGCTGCTGTGCTTGGGGGTCGGAGCTTCCCCGGGCCGGCAGTGTACAGGCACCCGGTGGCTCCTGTGTGCAGGACGCGGGCAGCTGCTTTGGGCTTGGCAGTCTTTTTGGTGAGTTTGGCTACCTCCATGTGCAGGCTTCCTTTCAGCGTCCGATGCTTCCCCAGCACCCTTGGCGCTGTGTTTCTGTTGGATTGCTCCCCCGTGGGGTGCGCTTCAGAATCAGCTTACCGGGACTGAATGTTTGCCAGCTCTCACTTAGGGAACCTGGAGGTAGGACTCTCTGGTTAGTCGGTAACTGGGGGAATAGCTACTTTCTCTTTTTGCTTTCAGCTTAGCTAACCACAGGGCTAAATGAGATGTGTGAGACTCTTGACAGAACTGCTAACAAATCACAGGACACTCAGGAGTTGCTTGGATGACAACTTCAAGTGTAACATCATGTGACTGCATTCCACAGCAAGGGGGTGGTGTAACACTGGGGTGTCGCACAGTTCAGCACTGTGGGAATGATGTGTCTGGGTGAGCGCAGGTGTGTCTCCCTGTAGGGCAAAGGGACCCTGGGCTCTCTGCATGGCCGTGGACTCAGCCTCCTAACCGCCTTGGGAGGACTGTGCCGCCTCCTTCTGGGGGAGTGGATTATCATTCACTGAGGTCAGCTGACTGCCTCCAGAGCAAACAGGAAATAGCGGGTGTTTGATTCCCATCCCCTGCTCATTCAGTAGTCATTACCCATAGTTAGGAAGAGGCTCTGCAACTGAAGGCTTGAGCATGTGAGAATACTTTAAAAAGTTTATGGAAAGTGTGTTTTTTTAAAAAAACCCTGTGCATAGCTGGTAAGATTGCCACCTGCAGCGCCAACAACCATATGAACCCCAGTTCACATCCTGGCTGCTCTACCTCCAGTCCAGTTCCCTGCAAATATATCAGGAAGCAGTGGAGAGTGGCCCAGGTCCTTGGGCACCTGCACCCACACAGGAGACCCAGAGAAAGCTCCTGCCTTCAGAGCAGCTTAGCTCCAGCCATTACGACCATTTGGGGAGTGAACCAGCAGATGGAAGACCTGTCTCTCCCTTTTTCTCTCTGTAACTCTGCGTTTCAAATAAATGAAGAAATCTCTGAAATAATTAGGCATAGATTTAAAATTTTTTGCACCAAAATAAACATATGCTTTTCAAAATTTTTTTTTACATCTGCGTTGTTAGGCAGAGTGACTGAACAAAAGAGACAGAAACAGAAGATCTATCTGCTGGTTCACTCCCCAGACACCCATGGTAGCCAGGGCTGGACTGGGCTGAGGTTGAGAGCCCAAACTCCACCTGGTCTCCCACCCGTGCACTTGAGCTGTCTGGTGTCTCCCAGGTTGCATTTGCAGGAAACAAGGTTGGATGAGTGGAGTGGCCAGGATTCAGGCCAAACACCCTGGGTAATTCACAGTTGCTCCAGGCTGTGGCTTAACCCACTAAGCACAATGCCCGCCCCTACACTGATCTTACTGTTCATTTCCATAGATTCCTGGCGCACCCTTGTGGTCTGTGGGGACTCTGTCGATCGCCTTTGTAGAGACTGGAGATAGCTCGAGAATATTCACTCATCCCCCAACTTTTTGTTATAACAGATAATGAACCAACCCAAGTCTCAGCGCCTAAGAAGACGGGGTCACCAACTCAAGCGACAGAGCCGGGTCGGGCAGTAGACCCAAAGCAGGGGCTCCAGGACCTCCAGGACAAGAAACTCCAGGTGCTTGAGGAGAAGGTCCTCCGCCTCACCAGGACAGTCCTCGACCTTCAGTCTTCCATCGCTGGAGCAAGTGAAAACCCCAAACACGCCGTCCAGGGTGATGGCCAGAAGACACCACAGTCAGTGCCCGCCCGCGACCTTGCTGGAGACACTGCAACGGTCCGATTTCCTGGCACCCCCAGCACTAAGGAAGCGGGCATGAAGGACATCAAGTCGGAATTGGCTGAAGTCAAAGACACGCTGAAGACCAAGAGTGACAAACTGGAAGAGCTGGATGGGAAAGTGAAGGGCTACGAAGGGCAGCTCAAACAGCTCCAAGAGGCTGCCCAGGGGCCCACGTTGACCATGACCCCCAACGAGCTCTACCAAGCCTACGTGGACAGCAAGATTGACGCCCTGAGGGAGGAGCTCATGGAGGGCATGGACAGGAAGCTGGCTGACCTGAAGAACTCCTGTGAGTACAAGCTAGTTGGCCTGCAGCAGCAGTGTGATGACTATGGCAGCAGCTACCTGGGAGTGGTAGAGCTCATCAGCGAAAAGGAGGCAAGCCTGAGAAAAGACATTGGTGACCTCCGGGCCCGGCTGCAGGGTCCTTCCGCCCAACCCAACTGCTGTGAGGGCGCAGAGAACGGGGACTTTGGCCAACAGATTAAGTCATTAGACCAGAAAATCGAGAGAGTGGCCGAGGCCACCAGGATGCTGAATGGCCGCCTGGACAATGAGTTTGACCGTCTCACCGTTCCCGAAGCAGATGTAGATTTCGATGCAAGGTGGAATGAACTTGATGCCCGGATCAACGTGACCGAGAAGAATGCCGAAGAGCATTGCTTTTACATTGAGGAAACGCTTCGGGGTGCCATTAACGGAGAGGTGGATGACCTGAAGCAACTTCTGCATCAGAAAATAAACTCTCTGGAGGACCGCCTGGGGAGCGTTCTGCAGGTGGTCAACACCACGGACGCCGACTTTATCCCTTCAGGGTCAGCCCTGCCAGGGGTGTCCGCATCAGGGAACGAACAGGTCATGATGGAATTAAACCACCTGAAGGACAAGGTTCAAGTGGTCGAGGATATTTGCCTGCAGAACTTCCAGAGGGAGCCGCACGAGATCGAAGCTGCTCTGCCGAGTGGAGCTGACCTCACGGCAGAGGAAGGCTGGGGCCTCTTGAAGGCTCTCAATGAGACGATGCACAGGAAGTTTCAAGAAACTGAACGCCACCTCCAACAACTCCAGGAGGGTTTTCATTTCCTTTATTCTCAATTAAACCAAACAGGAAGTGATGTGAATCATCTCCAGGATCAAGTGAGCAATTGTAGAGCAGGTGAAAAGGCCGGAGCTGGCGGGTTTAGTAAGGTGGGTGAGCCAGCACAGACAGAGGAGACCCTCCCGTCTCCCCAGGACCCCGGGGCTCAGTGCTGCGGCCAGCTGGAGGACAAGTGGCAGAAGCTGCAGAATCAGGTCTTGGCTGAACTGGACGTGTGCAAGCAGAGCGCACACGGCCTGCAGAGGGACGTGTCCGTGGTCGAGGGCCGCGTGTCGCAGATGGAGAAGACGTGTGGCAAGCTGGACTCGGTCTCGGGAAGTCTCCAGAGGCTCCGGGAGGGGCTCAGCAAGCATGTCAGTGGCCTGTGGACCTGCATCCGGCAGATGAACGGCACACTCAGGTCACACGCCAGGGACATTTCCGGCCTGAAGAATTCAGTCCAGAAGTTCTACAGCCATGTTTTCCAGATCTCGACCGACTTGCAAGACCTGGTCCAATTTCAACCATCCTCAAGTAAGTGATGCCCGACTGTGGAATGTGCCACGTCAGTGCTGTCCACAGTGGGGCCTGGGTGGTGGTCCGGGAGGGTGGTATGCAGTTACAAGTGCCAGTGTCAAGAGTATGTGTTCAGAGACCCTGACAGTGATATGACACGGCCACAGAATTCTAGCAAGTGATCTGTGTGTCATATGAAAGTAACAGCTCAGGGCAGACTGAAAAGAGAGTGGACCGGATGTTCAGCACATATACATGGCAGTGTGCTGCGCTTTCCTGCTGTGTGTTGAGCCAAGAGTTGGGGCGGAGGTTTGGTGGGATAGCCTCAGGGGTGGATGCGCCAGACTCTTCCACCAGGGCAATCTCCCGGTCCTGTGTGTCTCTGTGCTGGTATCATCCTCCGTGTGTTTGCTACTTTATAAACTTTGTCATCACCTTCGAGCCACCTCCAATCTCTACAGTCTAGGGCTTAGGTTAGTGTGGCGGGTTGGGTATTTGCAACATCATTCATAGGCCATACAAAATTACATGTTCAACTTAAAAAAATCAGCGTATTGCTGGTTTCCTGACACTGGGGTCTCACCCGCAGCTGGCCTGGCAGCGCCAGACCAAGCCATGTTGTGGGCTTTATGTAGCTGGCGGGCTACTCTGCGCTCCTGGAATATGATGGTGGGTAGCGGGTTGTCACACAGGATCCTGGGTGAACAGCAGGGCCCAGGAGGGATCCAGGAAAGACCCTCCAGGCACAGAGCAGCATGTTGCTCTTTCTCAAAACATTGTTGAATGAATAAGTGAATGCGTGGTTCCTTTATAGTTTTGAACAATATATTCAATCAAGTTCAGGCCTTTGTTCCTTTGGGGGACCTGGCACATAGTCCCTGAAGGGGAGAAATGCTTTTGGACCTGGATTCTAACTTTAGACGCCAGCCTCCATGGTGAGCTGGAGGCGGCCAGATGAGCAGGGCCCTCCTGGCATCAGTGCGGGCAGAGCTTGCAGCTCACAAGACTCACTGGGAAAGATGTGCTGTGTTCCACAGTCACACGGCTGCTAGGTGGCGACACTGGGATTGGAACCTGTAGCGCATGCCCTCATGTCCCAGAGTTGAGTGCACACCACCTTGGTCCACTGGGGACTCACTGAGGGCCACCTTTATGTCCTGACTTGTATTCTGTCCTTCCTTGGGACTGTACCCTCACGACTTGTTGAGTCCCTGTGACACTGGCCCTGGCCCGCAGAGCTGGGATGGCACAGCTGCGCTGAGCCCATGGAGTTTTATGATCCAGACTGAGCCTGGCCTGGCTGCCAAGGGCGCAGGAGGCGCAGGAGGGGCCGGGGTTGGGGGGTGAATTGCGGGGAGGGGGATGGAGGGGGGATGCTCTGACACTACCCAAGTGTGCTGCTGGTTTTGTTGCTAAGGGACTGCAGGGGCTGAACAGGGCCAGAAATGCAGCCTGCAGCCCTGTGGTGCCCGCTGTCCTGCACTGCGCCTAAGCCTGCCCCTCCAGCCCGCCTCCTGCTGTATCTCTGGAATGTTGATTACAGGTCACAAGACCATGTGTATTCACAAAATGATTGTCCTGGTGCTGATAGCGCTGCCTGGGCTGGGCTGTGTTACAACAGAGCTAGCCTAGTGGCTAAATCATCTCCTTGCAACTGCCAGAATCCCATATGGGTACAGAACAGGCCAGGTGCTGGGCAGCAGGGAAAGCCACTTTGACTCTCCGTGTGTCTGCACTGCAGGGGCCAGAGGTGACAGCTTGACAGAGAATGGTCCTCCCCAAACATGGTGCTTTAGGGCAGAATGTGTGTGTGTGTGTAAGAGTTACAGGGAGATGGAGAGATACACATATAGAGATCTTCCATCTGCTGGTTCACTCCCCAGATGACCACAATGGCCCGGGGCTGCATCAGGCTAAAGCCAGGAGCCAGGAGCTTCTTCCAAGTCTCTCACGGGGCTGCCGGAGCCCAAGCTCTTGGGCCATCCACCGCTGCCCTGCCAGGCTACAAGCAGATAGCTAAATGGGAAGTGGAGCAGCCAGGACACAAACCAGAGCCCCAGGCCAGGTCTGGGACCGTGTGTGTTGGTTGTGTGGATTTTGATGATTTCAGCAATTTCAAAGGGCACGACTAAACACACAGAGCCTCATCTGGCCTCACACAGTACCAAGGTCTTTGCAGATCGGGAACCACATGGTATTTGAGTTCTGTGGGTGAATCTGGATCCATGGAAGTCACACAGCCATAGTGATAACAGATCATATATTGAGCACCAACTGTGTGCAAGACTCCATGAGGGATCTAGAGATGAATATATATGATTCCCTTTTCAAAAAATTATCTTTTTAAAAGATTTGTTTATTGAAAGAGTTAGAGGGCGACACACACACACACACACACACACACACACACACACACACACACACATCTTCCATCTGCGGGTTCACTCCCCAAATAGCCACAATGGCTAGCTAGGCCTGGCCAAGCTGAAGCCAGGAAGCAGCAAGTCCAGCTGGGTCTCTCATGTGTGCAGGGGCCCATGTGCCTGCGCCATCTTCCACCTTCGCAGGCGCATGGCAGGGAGGAGAGGAGCGGACTCTGAGCAATCCTGTGGTGTAGAACGGTGGCATTGCCTGAGAGGTTTAACTGTAACTGAGCACAGGTCAGAGGCTGGGCGTGCGTGGGGGTGATGAGTGAAGGCAGAAGATGAGAGGAAGTTCCCGAGGGAGGTGGAGGTGTAGCGAGGAGAAGCTAGGTTTCAGAGAGCAGGAGAGGCAGGGGTTCCTAGTGAGGATTTGATGTGCATGTGTCCGTGTTTTCTTACTGCATAACAACCAGTCCCAAATCTGGTGGTCTTCTGTTCTGTGGGTCGGGGTCTCAGGCAGGGCTTAGCCTGCCAGTTCTTCTGCTGAGTGAATTCTGAGTCCCTGGCAGTTGGCGGAAGGTCCTGAGAGACTTACTGCCAGCTCTGTGGCCTCCACATGTCCAGCTCCTCTCTGTGCATGTGGGTGATTGGGCTGCCACACCGCACGGTGACCTCCAGTGGTCAGGCTCATCCTAGTTGACTGGCTGGCTCCTGGAGCGATAGCAGAAGCTGCTGGGCCTCCTGCAGATTGGGCACAGGGTTGGTGTGAACCACATTCATTCTGTTGGTCAGATCCAACCAGCTCTTGCGGGATGACATAGCTGAGCTGCGTGGAGAGAGAGCAGAGGTGTGAAGGGGGACATCTTGTTTACCATGACAAGCCTAGGACCTGAGGTTAAGGGAGTGTGACCTGGGTTCCTTCCGATTGCTGGGACTGCGGACACAAACTCTGTCATGTGTGCCCCGCCCCAGCTCTCTGCATAGATTCTGTTATTCCAGCGGTGTCCCTGAGGGAGGCTGGATTGCCCAGTGTGCAGTCAGTGGGACAGAATGGGGGCTTGGCTGACACACAGATGGATCCGAGTCTGCTTGGAGTCCCACCACCTGAATCCCAGGCATTCTTTCTCTGGGATTTCAAAGGGATCCTTGGAATGATGTGCAGAAGTCTGGGGTTTTGTTTGTACTGGAAGGCCACTGCTTCCATCCAGGACTGGGGTGCAGGGTGGGAGTGCTGAACGTCCAAAAGGTGATGACTCCCAGCTTGTATGATTCCATCCCTTTCTTGGCTCAGGAGAGTAGGTATGCTGTGTGCCCGACTGCTCCATCCACTGTGTATTCAGTCAGCAGTTATCTGTGGAGCCACATTCTGGTGCTGACACATGGGTCTTACACCACAGCTGGGAAGCCAGACCACGAAAAAAACCTGAGGATTGAGTAGAGCAAGGCGGCCGACCCGGGACAGCTCTGCTGGACATGGGTGGTCAGGAAAAGCCAGTCCCTGAATAGGGGGAGAAGGGAGCAGTTCTGCTGAGATGCCTGTGAGGAGAATGGGCTGTGGAGCAGACAGCATGTTCAAAGGCCCTGGGGCAGGAATGACTAAAGCAGGAAGTTCCAGGTGATTACCCAGAAAGTAGTATCCGGATCATGCAGGGTTTTACAGACTCGGATAAAGAGCTCGGAGTTTGCATCTCAGGAGGAACTTGGAGATTTTCTGCCAGCTAGTAACTATTGTTCCCCAAGTTTGAAATCCAGCTCTTCTGTGCTAGCCCTGGTGGTCCCTGGGTTGCTGCCCACAATGTCCGGCTGTGGGGCTGTTCGCTTCTCTTTCTCTTTGTTCTCTGCTTTGGGGACCAAGTCAAATGTAACAAGCCGAGGGAGCTCCCCTCCCGACACCCACAGTGCCACCTGTGCTGATCAGAGAAGGCGTATCTTACGGAAGGAGCAAAGCTGGGGGCTGTGATGTCCACATGGCCCGAGGGACCTGAGAAAGGGATGAGTTGGGTCCCAGCATCAGCCTTCCAGTCCATGGCTGTGGACAGTGGCTCTCAGAGGTCCCCGTGGCAGGGCCATCCTGGGGCTCCACGCCCCCTGGCCATAGCATCACTTCCTCCTCTTCCACTCGTTCCCTTTCTGTTCCTGATCTCTGCAAGTCTCCTTGTTTTCAGAGTTCTAAGATTCTGTTCTTCAGTGAGTCTCCTTGAATATGATAGACTGCAGAGCCTGTTTCTCTAGTTGCTTGTGGGAAGCCCTTAGGATGAGGAAGTGGGGAATAGTCAGAGAGCCCTTGGATTCTGGAGTCTGGCCAGGGCTGGTAGCCCATTGTCAACGTGGCATGGGCTTTGGCTTTGGCTGGGGATCGGCTGGGTTGGGGGCCAGTGTGGGTCCGTGAGCAGGAGGGCTTTGGGAGTGTATGAGAGCTGAGTAAGCCGTGCATGCCCGGGCCAGGCTGAGCCCAACCCTAACCCTGCCAGCAGCGCCTCGATCTGAGGCTGTGCTGCTGGTGGCACTCTTGAGCATGTGTGCATGAGGCAGCTGCTTTTCACTATCTTCACCTTGACTTTGTAGCAGCTCAGGGTGCAAAGCTGGTGCCTTAGCCAGAGCACCATGCATCCCACCCCCAGTGGTGTGCACATCCCATCCATAGGGGCTGCACAC